CATAATTTTACAATTGCGACCACCATCAGTTTCAAAACATTTTTGATGGATCCAATGTATCCATTCACCTGAAATTCTTTTTTTCATTCCCCTCCAGTGGGGTTATATAGTTATCATTGCTATCAGCTCCCCCCACCCCCCTTCCCATACCCACAAGGAATCATTCTTCCCATTACTGTTTCTGAAGGGTTGTCTATCTTGACTTTCATGCATCAACTGCTCATAAGTATACAAATGAACATACATAGGTCTTAACAAGATTAATGAGGTAAAACAAAGGCCGTAATAGTAAGGGGAGGAAATAGTAAAGAACTAGAGTATTGTTATGTGATTCCTCAGTGCTATATCGCTCCCTAGATTTATCATCCTTTCCACGTGACCCTTCTGTGAGGGTCTGTCCTATTATCTTACAGGTAGGTTTTGTCCATGCTCCTTCACGTCAGTTTGATTGCTTGTTTTTGAACTTTGGATACCTTTTGAAAACTTCTGATAACTTTTGATCCCTATCGACAGCTCATGATCACACAGCCTGGTGGGCTTTGATGCTTCCCTGCTAGATGGCCGCTTGTTTAACTTTAAGCCTTTAAGAACCCAGATGTTATATATATTTGTAGCAGGGTACCATCAGCTTTCTTCACCATTTTTGCTTATGTGCCCATTTTGTCTTCAGCAATTGTGTCATATAATTGAAATTATTAACTCTACCTGTTTTTGTACATAAAGGCTTGTTGGAAAACAGTGGTGTGCATTTATTTACATATTGTCTACAAATGCAACAGAGGCTCACAAAGCCTAAAATATTTACTACTTTACCCTGTATAGTATATACTTGCTGACCTTTGTTTTTTAGACCATTGTGTAAGAGTTTGGTCAGAATTTTTCTCTGATCTGTAAGAAGGGACATGCAGTAATAGTGGAGAGAATTTGGAATCAACTCAATGGTAGTAGGTATACAAATTCTTGCAACAACTTTTTTTCCCTCCCTTATATTAGACTACCTGTTTTGTTTTTGTTTTTTCCCTATGGTTATCCACTACCTTGTAATCTCTATTGTACCTTTTCTGTGTTCAGAATCTTGGGCTGCCGACTAAATGGGAGGTGGAGAACTGAGGGGTGGGTGAGGAATGTATTTTTTCTTAGTAGAAATTTCTTATAAAGATGAATCTTGGATGATAGAAACCAGTTGCTGAATTTCACATCCTAGATAGAAAATAAAAGTGAAATACTAGCATCATTGTAAGCATCAATCTTTATAAAGAGTTTGACTGTCTTCTCATGACTTAGTATAATGCAGTGCCAGTAAGTTGTATTCCCAATGTTGTTTTTACAGGTCTATAATGACGGATCTATACTACCTCAGTCAAACAGATGGAGCCGGTGATTGGCGAGAGAAAGAGGCCAAAGATCTGACAGAGCTAGTCCAGAGGAGAATAACATATCTTCAGGTAAGAAGGTTAGATTAAAAGAGAAACTCGAGAGAAAAGGTAGGAAAATTATAATAACACTAAAACTAAGCATTGCTATTGGCTTTTAATCTACCTAACTCTTAAATTGGAAATATCTACTCATTTCACATATTTATTTTAAAAGACACTTATGCCTGGATTGAATACCCTGATGACAAAAACAAAGTCCTTGCCTAATTGGGCTACTTTGTACACACAATACACATAAACATTACAA